TGGCTACCGCACTGTGGCCCAAGGCACCAAGAAGGAAGGCTGCACTATCCTCTTCATGATCCTCTACTTCTTCGGCATGGCCAGCTCCATCTGGTGGGTCATCCTGTCCCTCACCTGGTTCCTAGCCGCTGGCATGAAGTGGGGCCACGAGGCCATCGAGGCTAACTCCCAGTATTTCCATCTGGCTGCCTGGGCTGTACCTGCTGTCAAGACCATCACCATCTTGGCCATGGGGCAGGTGGATGGGGATGTGCTCAGTGGGGTGTGTTACGTAGGTATCTACAGCGTGGACTCCCTGAGGGGCTTCGTGCTGGCACCCTTGTTTGTGTATCTCTTCATTGGCACTTCCTTCTTGCTGGCTGGCTTCGTGTCCTTGTTTCGCATCCGCACCATCATGAAGCACGACGGCACCAAGACGGAGAAACTGGAGAAGCTGATGGTGCGCATCGGTGTCTTCAGCGTCCTCTACACGGTGCCTGCCACCATTGTCCTGGCGTGTTACTTCTACGAGCAGGCCTTCCGCGGCACCTGGGAGAAGACGTGGCTCCTCCAGACCTGCAAAACATACGCTGTGCCCTGTCCCAGCCACTTTGCCCCCATGAGCCCAGACTTCACCGTCTTCATGATCAAGTACCTCATGACCATGATTGTTGGGATCACTACTGGCTTCTGGATCTGGTCTGGCAAAACCCTTCAGTCCTGGCGACGCTTCTACCACAGACTCAGCACCGGCAGCAAAGGCGAAACAGCAGTATGAGACCCTCCTGTCCCCTGTGGCACACACACACTCACATATGCACACACGCAGAGGAGACTAATACTCGGCAGAAGAGTAGGGCAATGGCTCCCTGAAGAGGGAAGAAGGGAGGCTTTTTCAAACTTTTGCTTCCTCACAGAAGGAAAAAAAGGAAAAATCATTGCATAAAGGATCAGTCAAACTATGTCCAGTGGTGCTTATGCTCAGCTAAGTGGAAGAGGACAGTAAAAGAGGCCACTGGTGGGATGGGAGAGTCCTTCACCCAGAAGTCCCCTTATTTCTCTCTCCTGCTACCCCTGTCCAGGAAAAAACCTCCAACCCAACTAAAATCAGCCTGCCTTGCTTTGGACAAGAGGGAGGGGAAGCCAGATCTGTTGAGCTGCCCCTACCGAGAAGTAGCCAAATGCTCTCTGAATTGCCGGGGCCAAACTGCAGCGCGGGCAGGGTAGCTCCCGAGCCTGAACTCGCTGCCTGCTCCTTCCAGTTCGGCGGAGCCATCACGTGAGTACTGCACAGCCGGCTGCAGCCCGACCGTGTGCTGGGGAGATGCCTCTGTTCTGTCAGCTCACAAGTTCCTTTTTACCTCAGTGATACCTGTTGTAATGGTTTTAAAGTAAAAATTTGGCCCTTAATCTGATGTTCTTGCTGCTGTGGGGAAGGAAGGGGTTGCTATTCCACGCCCTGAAAAGAAATGACTTGTTGCTTTTCAGCAGAAGGCTTTTCCCCCTTGCCTTTGTTCTAGGAGACAAAGGGGGAAACAAAAGTGTTTTCTATGTAGAAAGGCATAAGCATGGGATCGGTTTTTATGGGCAAACTAACAAAAAGAAGTCGTTGAGGTTCACCCTTGGATGTGAGGAGCTCGCAGAAATAAACATTCCTTTTATGAAAAAAGGAGGAGGCAGGATGTTTTCCTACCGTTCAATATGGGTCGCTTTTCTAAACTGAAGGAAACGCAAGATTTAGAGGGCAAGAAGAGCTTAACTGAGAGCACCTGCCAAAACAAGAGCCATTAAAATATGTAACGTAAAGATAGGATTTTTTTCTTTCCCATAAACCTGCTTTCTCTCCTGCTTTGCAGTGAGCTCGTTGCAGACAAAGTCAATACACAGCCGCTTCTGGGGACAGGAGGAATCCTTTTGGCTCACGAAGGACCCTTTGCCAGCTCCTCAGGTTCCCTGAGCTGCATGGCAATGACTCATGGTGCTGGAGGGGGCTGGGGTTGGGGGTTAAAAGCAAGCAGTTACTGCAAGTGAGGAGCCTTCTCATTTTGGCCAAAATACAGCTGGTTAAGTTTCCAGTGGTTACGTCTTGGAAGGAAAAACATTCACAAATTAATCATCAACTGCATTGTTTTCTTTTGATATGTGACAGATTTTTCTATTCTGAAAATTTTTATGTCGACTTGTTCATATTTTATTTTTTTTTGCATACTACTTTACCTTTATATTCACTGAAGGGTTGTTTTTATAAGTGTATGTGTGTGTGTATATTCTTGCCTAAGGACAAAATAGGAAATTCTGGATTTTTAGCAAGTCTCCACCCTATAGCTGCTCTTCATGTTTTTTTGGGGAAAAGTGTCTGGAATGAAACTTAAAAAACCTGTTCAGGGTGAGGGGTCAGACTGCTGCTGTCTGAGGGTGTACCAGTAGTCTGGGCATGAGGAATGGGCCCATTAGCCAAATCCTTCAGCAGATCCGATTTCAGACTTGTGGGGCTTGCGTTTTTGTCTTTTATAATGTGCACGTGGAAGAAAAGAAAAACAAGCGTGTAAGACAAGTGCAGTATGTATATTTTGTAAATCCCATTTTTGTAAGAAAATATGTATTTATGTTTTTACTTGATTTTTTGAAGGTCTGTATGAGGCCCTGCTTTACCCCACTAAATAAATAATTTTTAATACAAAGGCTCTAATGAAGTTTTGTTTCAGTCTTTGAACACTTGGCAGGTTTTAGAATGAGGGGAAGCTCTGTGAGTGGTGCCTTCTCCCACACTTTATTAAGGGAGGTGCAAGAGACTTTTAGGTGAATACACTGACCAGAAACTCTGCTTTGACTTGAAACTGGCCTTTCTATTACCAGCCCCTAACAATAGGAGAGCACATTTTGAGACAGCCGGTTTCAAATGTCTGCCCTGGCTTGAGGTACTTGCATCCTAGCCAAGTTTTCTTCCAGGCTCTGCCTCTTGCTGAGGGCAAGCTGATAAACCAGTTTCCTTATCTATAAAATAAGGATAATGCTCTCTTCCCATTCCAAAGGGACTTCGAAATTGAGAACTGGAGGGTGCTACAAGTACTGTAAATTAAATCCTCACTGTGACAGGCAGGGTGTTTTAGGGAAACACTACGGACTAGGTCCTTTACAATGGCTTTCAAAGGGCAGTGTTTTGAACTGGTGCTTTTTTTTTTTTTTCCCCACAGCACCTTTGCTATCTGCAGTTTTGTTCAGGTGAATTTTACTTAAATCTTAATAGGTAGCCTGAAGCCTGTATTCTTTATCACAATCAGTTGAAAGGTGATAGCTTCAATGGAATGGTCTATTTAATTTTTTAAACTGAAACAAATGTTTAGATCTCAAGTTGTGTTTCTACAATCACGGAAGGTGCCCCAACAAACAGAATTGTACACCTGTGAAATGGTGATAGTTTATAGCTTTTCTCTCACAATGATTTCAGCCTACTTGTTAGGTTGATCACCCTTCCTGTATCTTAAACTATGTCATGAGACATTCATATCTGAAATGTCTGTCTCCACCAGAAATGACTATAGCTGAATGCTTTTATTTCAGTGTTTCCTAGTAAGTATTTCTGGATTTAAAGTCACTTATGCAAAACTGTCCAAACCCTGGGATTTAAGACAATTTTTAAAATTTGAAATTGTAGGTGAAATTTGACGCTGGTATAGAAGTAGAAGCAACTGCTATTCACTTTTCAGCAGATGTGACTTACATCAAGACTGAATTTGCTCACAGTGGAAACAATTTGGAGAATTTCAAGTAGTGACAAGGTCTGGCCTTCTGGAATAAAAATCTCTTTCACCATTCTGATAACAAAGCAGTAGTTACTTTCATGATGGGAGTACAATTTCAAAAAATCTCTTTGTGAAGCTATCTGGAAAAAAAGGAGGAAAAATAGGCCTTTACCAACCTCTCTGATAATCACTGCAAAACATTTTTTCTTTGACTAATGTTTAAGTGCACTTTCAGTTACATTATTTTAAGAAAAGTTTCCTACCTTTTACCTTTGGCTCTTGTCTTAGCAGCACTTTTGGTTCACAAGACCTTAGCAAGTAATATTTATCATTAATCAATATCCCTGTAAGTTTGCTATACATTTTCCTGAAAACTACATAACCACTGGTTCTTAAGAGAGACATTTGTGTAATTTTCTAAAATACAGTATTATTCCAGGCAAGTTAAACAGGAGGCTTTAACAATTCTAGAGTTCATGAACAGCAGCAGCAACTGAATGTTTGTCTCTGCAGAAAAAAGTGCTTTTATAATACGTCAGTGTTTGTTTGGGTTTATTTTTGGTGGAATACCCACACCAGCAATTGAGTGTTTTTGTGTAAGTACTTCACCCACAACCAATAGCTTTGCATGCAAGTAAAAACCACGCATCTCTGTGTTCACCAACAGGCAACAGTAAACATTACTTATAATTTCACATGGGCTTAGAAACCTAATTGCTAGCTTGTATCTTAAATAGTCTTATTTCCCTCTATCTCATTGTCATTTCCTTCCAGATCTTGTAGTACTTCATATACACCCTGCCTTTCATACTTGCCTTCTACTTCTTTTATTTTTTAAAGCCATGAATCCAGCTGAAAGAAACTTAGTCTATTGCTTGGAGAGGAAAAGATGACTCTGAATCTTCTTCCCTATAACTGTTCATTGAGGTAGGCTATTGCCAAGCCTGCTCTATATAAACCAGGATAATTGTTTCATGCCAACATGAGCGTGTGGTTTTGGCAGCTACAACACTGCACAGGATAATATAGGATTGGGGGAATAAATACAGTGCATGGCAAGTTCCCAAATGCCCCACTTAGAACTGACACATTTTGACTAAAATGATGCCCAAACTATAAAATGAAAACATGTACATCAGAGTTTAATGCTGTTCAGACAACCAGTTTGTGCTACAGTCAGAGAAGGACAAGGAGAGTTCTGACACTGTCTGAACCCAAGGTCCAAGGCTGCATGGTTGAGGTGGCTGAGCATTGCTTGTCTCTAAACCAGGTCAGTGAAGTAAGGCACAGACAGCACTTTCTCCTAATTCAGGTAAAGACTGGTCTCAAGAACAAGGCCCAAACAGGGCAATGAGTGCATACTCTACATCTCATGCTCCTTTCTGTGCAACCAGCCTAACCATGCCAGGATATTATAGAACTGGGAAAAATGAGAATATGGATAAAAAGCAGGAATAAGCAGGGCCTAGAGCATATTTTTAAACAACAGCTGTAAGTTGGGGAAGATCAATAATCCATATTAGCCCAGAAATCTTGCTAGCAACAATTTGTTCATTTTGCCTGCCCCAGCTGTGTCACAGCTTGGGTCGGTTATAGGCAGCCCTTTGCTTAAGCATGTTACTCTTACAGATACAGGTGGAAAAGCAGTGTCTACTGTCCAGAGGAACAGCCTGTATGAGTAGGCTTGGGCTGCACAGGTCTTAGAAATCAACCTCATCCTGTGGCCACCAGGGTAGCCATAACATTATTATTAACACCGGGATCCCAAAGGCCAGGATGACAGCTAGAAAGAAAAATAAGAAGCCCAGTTCTCCCGTCCCTCCAGCTTTAGTGGAGGTATTGGCAATTCTGGCATTGTTCTCAAACCAATCTGCAGGAAGGCAATGTCATTTTCAGGGCAGGCAGGAAGTAAGATTGTTTCCACCATGCTGTCCTTTTCCTCAGGGTGACATACCAAGGGACTTGAAAAGGCCTGTGGTGAACATGGAATTATGCCAGGAGTTGTAGTAGAAGAAAAATATGTTATCTGGACACAAAAGGGTGTTCTAGCAAATAGACACTAATCTAGGATTTGGAAGACAAGTGCTTGATTACCTGTACTGTCACAGATGGTGGACAGATCAAATACAGCCAGACTTTCAGCAGTATTCAGGTGGCTAAAGGCGGAGGTAGGTAACATGGAAAGCACTTTTCATAAGTGTTTAAATTCCCAGGTCCATCTTGGTAATTAGCCATCTTGGTAACTGGCTAGAAAATACTGTCTCTGTCTCTTAACTCCTTATCTATAAAATTGGAATAGTGACACTCCCATCATTATAGGGATGCTGTGGGAATAAATGCTATCAAAACCAGAAGAAATGAAATACACTTCTAATAGGGTTTGTA